GAAAATTAGGCTGTGTTTTACTCACCCCCGAGGCATCCTAGGTGTATATGACTTTCTTCTTTCAGACGAATCCAGTCGGAGTTATAATAAAAATGGTCTTTGATCTTTCAAGCTGTTTCATGGCACTCAGCGGGTGTTGCATTGCTTCAGTAAAAAAGAAGTTAAATAAAAATCGCCCATCCATAAAAAAAGTGTCTCACACGGCTCCGGGGGGTGAACAAAGGCCTCCTGTAGCGAATTGATGCGTTTTTGTAAGAAAAATATCCATATTCAAATCCTAATAATCACTTTAATCTAGCTTGCGCTCACGGTTGTAAACAGACAACAGTGAGCGCAAGCTAGATTAGAGTGATTATTACGTTTTGAATATGGATATTTTTCTTACAAAAACTTTGTTCACCCCCCGGAGCCGTGTGAGACACTTTTTTTATGGATGGGTGATTTTTATTTAAGTTCTTTTGGACTGAAGCAACGCAACACCCGCTGAGTGCCATGAAACAGCTTGAAAGATCAAAGACCATTTTTAATATAACTCCGACTGGATTCGTCTGAAAGAAGAAAGTCATATACACCTAGGATGCCTCGGGGGTGAGTAAAACACAGCCTAATTTTCAATTTTGGGTGAACTAACCCTTTAAGCTTGTGCTTCATATGTCTTTTTTGCTGTGAAATCTTTACTGATGTTTATCAAGTAAATGTGAGAATAACTTTGTTATTAAATATTGTTAATATTTCCAGATGAACACTTACTGGACTGAAGCAACATAGATTTACTTGATTATCTATAAAATCCTGTTATATAATCCTGCTATATAAAATCATCATTGTATTGCATTGCATCGCATTATATGTTTTGATCATCAAACTAAGCATCTAAATATCATCTTACTAGACACACTATTGGAGATATGGAGTGATGACTGATTTTTATATCATTTTATGTAAGTATCTACTATACAAATCTCATTATTTTACATTTCAAGCATCAGATTTTCATCACTCTTTGATCATATAAATATCAGCATCTGCACCAAATTGCATATTTTTGCTCAGTTTGGGCCTCTAAATAAAACTCAATTTTCTCACTATATCAGCCTATATGAGCCTTAAAATACTGATGGATCAAGTAGGATACAACACGCATATGCGAATTTTTGTTTTTATATTTTGTCTAAACTGTTCCATTTCAAACAGACTATTATTTCATGTGTACAGGGTTAAAACAGTTTTATTATGCCTGTTTTTCTTTCGACATTGTTTGAAAACAGAGTGCTCAAGATGAAGCCACCGTCCAGATGGCCGGAGACGACCTGGACATTCCCGAGGAGCTGGCAAAGATGGTGGATGAAGACGAGGAACAGGAAGAGATGAACGATTCTTTTCTAGGAAAACTCCAGAACATGGACGTGGACTTTGATTCGATCAAAGCCAAAGCTCAGAGCACGATGACGGAGGTCAAACAGGCAGCGGAAGACAAATGTGTCATGATGTGATTATTCGGTTAAACAAACCAACACGTATGGATTTAAAAAAATATATTTTTAATGATAAAGGAATATTTTACTCAAATGAAAATTCTGTCCTCATTTATTCACCTTCAACCTGTAATATGACTTATAAATCTTATTCTGAACAACATTTGTAACATACAGTTATGCAATGACAAAAAGGTGACTGAATTTTCATTTTCGAGTGAACTGTCCCTTTAAGAGGGTAATAGTGCAATATACTATAGAGGTTACAAGGCTTTCTACATGCTTCAGCCAAGCAGGACATTCTGGATTAACATCGTCTGCTAATCAGACAACTTATATCAGAGGAAAATAAACTAACAAATATGAATGTTGTCTAAACTGAACTCTAAAATCTGACTGAACTAGAATCATGTCCTACCTGGATGAACCATGCAAAGCAATGCAAAGCTGTGGATATCTGCTCTTTTTCTGAAAAACAATAAGCATCAGTGGACATGTTAAAATAATGTTGCTTCATCTGAAGTAGTTTGCACTAATGAAACACTAGAATTAAGAGTCATGTGAAAATGTGATCATTTAAATAATATATAATTTTTTTCCCCACATTACATTACTGAGAAGTTGCATAACAAATGTGCTTAACTTTCAATAAAATAATGGAAAAATGCAATGCAAAAAATATGTTTTTAAAATTTTGTTTCTTGTAAGAAATCATCCGGCTATTTATTGATGGGTCCACAATTGGTTTGGGAATTGTTTTACATATTTTTTTTAATTAAATGGCTTCATTGTTTCTTTCTTTATGTTTTTAGTCAGCATTACATTTCCAGATTAATTTAATATGCTTTACTGTATTATTCTATTGTCAGCATGAACTCAAAATAAAGTATTTGCCATCTTTACATAAAAAATGAGTCCATGTGTTTGATTGTATTTAAAGTCCTGAAGATTAATAACATTATAAAGCATTATAATGATTTTTAATAATGTTTCTGATCAAATGAAGTTTTGCATTTGAGTACATTGTAAAAAATTATTTTTCGAAGATTACTGGAGTATGTTTAACCAAAAATATATATACTATTTCAGTCTCAAAATGTTGTTTAATACAATGTGTTACTTGCCATCTATTTGTAATTATTTGTCAAATTTACTAGCAATTTGTAAGTGAAAATTGTTTTAAAGAAAATCCTACACAAATTGTATGTATGCAGTTGATCAGTACTTGTTGGTCACTTGCTTACACGCATGATTTAACTTTTACAGCATGATTTAACTCTTGAAGAGCTGGACTTTTCTGCACTTTTTTTACATTCAACATCTATTTTCTAAACCTTGAGACCAAAATGTCACTTACGATTCCTTAAACCTTACGTTTAGGTACGGTTAACCATTGTTTCAAGACTGAACCTTTACCTAATTCCAAGTCTGACCCCAAACATTAACCCTATAATGAAGTAACCATCAGAGCCTGACGACAATCTCAAAGTGAAGAATGTAAAAAGTAGATAACTGGGACAACACCATCAGCTAATCAAACTTCATTATGAAGCAAAACTAATTAAACTGCCTTTGTGATAAACCACCACCTACAATCAGAGTCAAACAACATGCATAAAAACTTTGGAAAAGGATGAACATTTTTTCTGCTGTCTGTACCCTTAATTGTGTACGAGTCCCTCAACTGTCTTTAGTGTGAAAATAATACATCTCAAAATCATACAGTCACTGTTGGAAAGGGTTCAAATATGAAGAAAATGCACACAGTATTAAGAATCATGTCTGTAAACGTTTGAACCAGGGGGGTTTTGTGTGTGTGTAAATTCAGGGATTATTTTGTTTTTGGACTATGCATCTGTTAAGTGAAATAGCTTCAGTATTAAATAAAATAATAATAATTGGATAGTTAAAAAAAACCAGCATGCATTTTTTATGATCCCTCCTATTTTGTTTAAAATGATCAACATTTGGTAGATTCTGCAAGTTGCATGTAAACGTATGACCGCAACTGTAAAAGCCTTATAAACTAAAATACTGAAATGAAATTTTAAAGGAATAGTTTACATAAAAATGAAAATTCACTTGCACTATATAATGGAATATAATGCACTATAATGAATATAAAGATGTTTGGAAACATATGGTGCTTTTTATCATTTTTTAAGTTTGAATGTCCCATTTACTAGAAACTTATGTTGTATGGAGAAAAAAAAGTGTTGATTAAATAAATGAATGTAAATGTAAAACTTTTATGTTTGAGTCTGAATAAACAATGACAGATTTTGTATTTTTGGATGAACATTCCTTTAAGATCAATTCAGTACTAGTTGAAAATAGATTACAGGAGAGTTGAATGTTAAAAGAGTATTGCAATGGTTTACTTCAGAAATCCCTTGACTTTTCTTCCATCCATAAATGTTATCATGATGAACAAGAGTCTCTTCTTCACAATGGACAGCAGATTATCTCTTCTATCTCTTTTCTGCACATGCATCACAACACAGCCTAAGAATAGATAACCAGATAACCACAGACACAGGATTGCTTACTTAGCAGCATTAGTTCATAAAACTTCCTATAGATCAAGACATTAGTTCTTTGGATAGACATGAGATGCTTAGATAGCTTAGTTAAATCTTTCTACAGATAAAGACTTGTTTTGGTAACAAATACCAGCTACATGCTAAAACCCTGCTCCAAAGCATTCATGTGAAGAGCCCATTAACCATCCAGAGCAAGACAAATACAGAAAGAATAAGGTATTATCATGTTTTGTTTTTTTTGACAAGTATGATGGTCATACCATATATTCCTTTAGAGAAGTATTTCACCCGAAAACGAAAATTTGCTGAAAATATCCTCAACCTCGGGCCATCCTAGATGTAGATGAGTGTGTTTCTTCATCAGATTTTGAGAAATGTAGCACTGCATCACTTGCTCACCAATGGATGCTCTGCAGTGAATGGGTGCCGTCAGCATGAGAGTCTAAACAGCTGATAAAAGCATCACAATAATCCACAAGTAATCCACAGCACTCCAGTACATCAGTTAATGTCTTGTGAAGAGAAAAGCTGCATTTGTAAGAAACAAATCCATCATTAAGATGTTTTAAACTGTTGCTTCCAGCTAAAATACGAGTCCATAATCCATAATAACGATTCCTCCAGTGAAACAAGTCTTCTCATATGAATCAGGAGAGAAATCTGCACAGATCAAGCACCGTTTACAAGTGAAAACAGTCCAAAACAGCCTAGTCAAGTCAAGTCACCTTTATTTGTATAGCGCTTTATACAATACTGATTGTGTTAAAGCAGCTTTACAGAGTTAAACAGGAAAACAGTTTGTCAATGATGCAATAAGACAATAACAGAGTCATTTTTCAGCTAAAGGCAGTTCATTGATGATTCAGTGATTGTCATCATCCAGTTCAGATCTCTTTCAATAGTGTCTGTGCAATCAGTCAAGTGTCCCCAACTAAGCAAGCCTACGAAACTCCATCGGTGACAGAAATGGAGAAAAAACCTTGGGAGAAACCAGGCTCAGTCGGGGCAACAGTTCTCCTCTGGCCAGATGAAACCAGCATGGTGTGGTTTAATTCCAGGCTGCAACACAGGTGCAGAGGACTCGTCTGGTTCCCGTGGTCTTGTGGCTGGATTCTGATGTGATGTGAGACAAAAGGAGGTGGACTTTTTCACTGGAGGAAGCGTTATTATGGATTATGGAGTTATATTTTAGCCAGAAGCAACAGTTTGAAAATTAAAATGTCTTGATGGATTTGTTTCTCGCAAACATGTAGCTTTTGGCTTCTCAAGACACTAACTGATGGACTGGAGTGCTGTGGATTACTTGTGGATTATTGTGATGTTTTTATCAGCTGTTTGGACCTTCATTCTGATGGCACCCATTCACTGCCATTGGTGAGCAAGTGATGGAATTGAAAAGCTACATTCTCTGTGAGCAGTGGGTGTATGGAAGGATGGAGTAGGTGGAGTTAATTAGCGCATAAAGACTAAGCAGTAGATTAATCCTACTGGAACACCAAAGCATGTCAGTGTCTCACCAGGATTTGACGTCATCAGCAACCTAAAATTACACACACAAAATATTTTTTTTGTGTCCGGCTTTAACATAGCTGCTTGACAGGAAACACCCACAAAAAATCATCAAAAAGCATGCTTGTCATTTACTTACATACCTGGAAGGCTGAAGGCATGAGTTTACTCCTCTTGGTTTAATTTGATTTTCCGCCATAACAGGATTAGTTATCTACTTTCATTCTTGTCCTTGGTGTCGAGAAAATCTATCTATCTATCTATCTATCTATCTATCTATCTATCTATCTATCTATCTATCTATCTATCTGAAAAATATCTATCTATCTGAAAAATATCTATCTATCTGAAAAATATCTATCTATCTGAAAAATATCTATCTATCTGAAAAATATCTATCTATCTGAAAAATATCTATCTATCTATCTATCTATCT